ACAGTTTTATTCATCAACCAATAAAAGCAACAACGTATTCACATCCTACAGAAGGACATCCCACACCACTGTTTCCCACCCACCTCACACCCTGCTGAACTTTTATCCTAATTGTAAGACTGCATTTCTTACTGGGCATGGTGGCTCACACCTTTAGTCCCATCACTCAGGAGGCAGAGGCGGGTAGATCACTGAGTTCAAGGCCAGCCTGTTCTACAGGGCCAGTTCCAGGAGAGCCAGGGCTACACAGAGAAACTCTGTCTCAAAAAACCAAAACCAAAACCAACCAATTAACCAGCAAACAAAATCGATTATTTCCTTTCCTGATTTGCTTGTAATTTCTTTGAGCGAGAGAGAACTGAGGTGATGGGTTTATCAGCTTAAGTAGCCCATAACACACAGTTTGGATTCTGTCTTAGGTTTACTATTGCTGTGATCAGTCACCGTGCCCAAAAGAAAACTGGGGAGGAAAGGGTTATTTGGCTCACACTTCCACACCGCAGCCCATCACTGAAGGAGAGCAGAACAGGAACTCAGGCAGGAACCTGGAGGCGGGAGCTGAAGCAGAGGCCATGGAGGGTGCTGCTCACTGGCTTGTTTCCTCCCGTTTGTTCTCAGAGAATCCTGAGACCACCAGCCCAGGGATGGCACTACCCACCCACAACGGGCTGGGCCCTCCCCCCCTCAATCACTAGTTACAACAATTCCCTACAGCCAGATCTTTTTTTGTTTGTTTGTTTGTTTTTCGAGACAGGATTTCTCTGTGGCTTTGGAGGCTGTCCTGGAACTCACTTTGTAGTCCAGGCTGGTCTCGAACTCACAGAGATCCGCCTGCCTCTGCCTCCCGAGAGCTGGGATTAAAGGCGTGCGCCACCAACGCCCGGCCCTACAGCCAGATCTTATGGAGGCATTTTTCTTATTAGAGGTTCCGCCCTCACACATGATTTTAGCTTGTGTCAAGTTGACATAAAATTCTCCAGCACAGACACCGTCTCCCAGGACCAGCTTTGGTTTGATGTAGGGTCTGGTTGCAGGACTCCCCACACCCTAGACAAGTGCTGTACCACTGAACCACACCACAGCCCATAAATACTATTTTCACAGGTATTACCTTGCTTAAAATAGCAGCCATCCTAAAAATACCCTGCCCTCCTCTGTCCTCCTCTGTGTGGGAAAGGCGAAAATAAAATGTTTGGCAGCTGGAAGGTTCTGAGGTGTCTGGAATGAGGTGAAAGGGCGATTTGAGGTTACCTTTGCCTCGAGAAACACCCAGGTCAGTCAACACCGGCCCACAGAGGTCAGGCTAGACCAGAGCCTCCAGGCTTTCCATTTTGTCCAGTCATCCAAATGAAGGAGCATGTCATTGTCTGGAGACTTCTTTAGGGAGTGGCCTATCCTTGCTCAGTTGACTTCTGGGAGAGTTATGTCAGCCCGATGCAGGGAAGTGGAGCATATCCAAATCTTAGAACCAGAGCTGTCAGGGTGGAGAAAGATCCTCCTATCTGACCTTTGTACTTTGATGTCTCCTGGGACTGCACAGTGGGTGACAAAAAACTGTTTTGTGGTTTGTTTTGTTTTGTTTTTGTTTTTTTGCTGTCTTTCTTCTTGGCTGAAGTGCTCTTCTGGGGTTCTCCAGAACCAGTTTCTCCATAAACCGGGTGGGGCAGGATAGATCTCTGCTCACACTGCCTGAGCCCTAGCCTGCCCTTTGGGAAGGCCACATACACCTCCCCTTGCCCAAGAAGCCAAAACCTTCAGTCCTAATAGGAGCAGCTATTTTTCTCCAGGGACAGCTGACCCCTACTCTGACCTCTGGCTCTCCTTTGACCACGTCCAAGCCCGGAAGCTTCCTGGACTTCCTGTCCCCTCCCTCACTATGGAGGAAGGTCCCTTGAAGCCCAGGCCCTCAGCCTGAGTCTTCCCTTTGTCCAGGTCCCCTGGGCAGAGTGCAGCCCAGAAACCTCCTCCAGTCCAGCCCCCTCCCACCGACCCCGGCTTGCAGACAGCTGTGGCCCTTGGCGGAAATGGCAAGCATGTGGACAGCAAATGGCGACTAGAGAGATCTGAGCACCGCAGGAGGGACCTGGGCGGAGGGAGTCTGCTCTCTGCTCGGGTCACCTGTGGCTGGCGGAAGGCGGCCTGCTGCTGCCCCCGTGTGGATAAGAGCGGGACCACAGGATTGCTGCCAATAAAGGAATATTTCAAAGAATTCTTATTTTCAGATGTTACGGATTCCACACAGGAGACTGTAAAGACTCCACCAGAACTCTTTAAGGACTGCTGATAAACACTATCGGTAAAGAGGCAGGGCATAAAACTAACGTATACAGGTCTGTAGCCTCCCTGTATATCTATAACAAACACTGGGAGAAGGAAACCAGGGAATCAAACCCTCTTAAAATTGCTTCAAGGGTCGGAAAGATGGCTCTTATCACTTAGCCTAAAGATCTGAATTTGGTTCCCAAAACCAAGACAGTGGACAGGCAGGACCAACTCGGGTAACTTGTCCTCTGACATATACACATACAGCACCACAGGCATGTGCCCTTCTACTCCAAATAAACAAGTGTAAAACTGTTAGATTGTCTAAAAAATTACTACATCTTGGAGTAAACCTAACTAAGAACTGAATGTCCTCTATATCTAGCTCCAAGTTATACAACAGAGACCTAGTAATAAAAACAGCACGGTAGTGCCACAAACAGACATAGAGACCAACGGGATGGAGTAGAAAGCCCAACAGAAACCTACATAGCTATGGCTGCCTGACTTTTGATCAAAATGCAAAGACATTCTTGTAGGTTTGACACTCTTCTATGACAAATGATGCTTCACAAATGGTTTTCCACTTGTAGAAGAATGGAACTAGATCCTTTTCATGCACCTTGCACAAAACCAACTCCAAATGGATCAAAGACCTTCACTGAAGACCTGGCTAGATGCCTCACCCGGTAACGGGGTTTGCCACTAAACCTATGACCTGAGTTCAATCCCCAGGACTCACATGGCAGGAGGGATCTGACCCCTAACCTCCAAACTTGCAAAGGGGCACATACTCTCTCCTGGCTCTCTCAACCTGAAACTGTGAAAATGCTAGAGAAAGGAGCAGAGAGTACCATTTCCAATTAGACATAGTAGTTTTTGAATAAAATACCAGTCAGGATGTAAGCCCAATTATTGACAAGGGGACCTCATGAAATTAAAAGTATCTATACAGGGATTTTTAAAAAGTATACAGCAAAAGAAATGGTTATTGAAGAGTAGAGACAAACTATAGAAAGGGAGAAATTTTTGTCAGTTGTAACTATGATATAAGGTTAATATCTAGAATATGGAGGCTGGAGAGATGGCTCAGTGGTTAGAGTACTGGCTGCTCCCGCAGAGGACCTGAGTTTTGTTCCCAGCACCACATGGTGGCTCACAACTGTCTGTAACCCCAGTTCCAGGGGATCTGATGCTCTATTATGACATCTTCAGGCACTAGGCGAGCAGATGGGGCAGATACATACATGTTGGCAAAACACTCACACACATAAAAATAAATTGACTTAATTTAAATTTTAAATATCTAAAATATGCAAAGACCTCATCCCTTTTTTTCTTTTCTTCTTCTTTTTTTTTTCGAGACAGGGTTTCTCTGTATTGTTTTGGAGGCTATCCTGGTGGTGGTGGTGCACACCTTTTTTTTTTTTTTTTTTTGGTTTTTCGAGACAGGGTTTCTCTGTGGTTTTGGAGGCTGTCCTGGAACTCGCTTGGTAGTCCAGGCTGGTCTCGAACTCACAGAGATTCGCCTGCCTCTGCCTCCCGAGTGGGTGGTGCACACCTTTAATCCCAGCATTTGAGAGGCAGAGGCAGGCGGATCTCTGTGAGTTTGAGATCAGCCTAGCCTACAGAGTGAGTTTCAGGTCAGCCAGGATTGCTACACAGAGAAACCCTGTCTCAAAAAATCAAAATCAAGTAATAATAATAAGACTGAGTCAAAGAGAGACAAATAGCTGCCAGAGAAGCAAACCACGAGCCTCGTGGTAAAATATAAACTAATAGAAATGGGTTAAATTGGCCGGGCAGTGGTGGCGCACGCCTTTAATCCCAGCACTCGGGAGGCAGAGGCAGGCGGATCTCTGTGAGTTCGAGGCCAGGCTGGACCGATAGCCTCCAAAACAATACAGAGAAACCCTGTCTCGTAAAAACCAAAAAAAAAAAAAAAAAAAAAAGAAAGAAAGAAAGAAATGGGTTAAATTAAATATAAGAGCTGGCCAGTAACAAGCCTGAGCCATTGGTCAGACAATTCTAATTAATATTAAGCCTCTGGATGATTATTTTATAAGTGATCATGGGACCAGGCGGGACACAGAAAAGCTCCAGCTCCAGCTGTGAGAGTACATCTCATCTCTGCCAGAATGGCTATCATTAAAAACCAAAAGTCAAAACAAAATGAAAAACCAACTGACAACAAATGGTGGAGAGGGTGTTATAGAAGAGAACAATTATTTAGTGCCATTTTTAATTCCTTCCCAACAGAATATTATGACACAAGCAGAGAAAAGAGGCCAGGGTTGTGAGAAGTCGGAGTGCCATGGGCTCAGTAAGGATGGCCAATTGTTTTTTCATTTAATAGTCAAAAAGAGAATGGGATACACAAGACCCTGTTTTAAAAAAGAAAGAGGGAGAAGAAGAAGAAGAAGAAGAAGAAGAAGAAGAAGAAGAAGAAGAAGAAGAAGAAGAAGAAGAAGAAGAAGAAGAAGAAGATTAAAGCTGAGCATGGTAGCACACACCTTGAAACCCAGCACTGGGGATGCAGAGGCAAGCATATCTCTGTGAGTTCAAGGCCAGCCTGGTGGACAAGTTTCAGGATAGCTAGGCTTTTACACAAAGAAACTCTGTCTTGGGAGGAAAAAAAAAAGCTAGTAAGAGTTGAATAAAACTCAGCAGAAGCTGGCCAAGATAACAGCACTTCTAATAACCTTGAACAGAGAATTATAAGAAATAAAGGCAGAAGAGAAAATCCAAAAAACTTTTTAATTAAAGAATACAATTGTTTATTTACTGTGTATACCAATGCATGTGTGGCACATATATGTGGGTATGCATGTTATGGCATATGTGTTGAGGTCAGAGGGCAACTTGCAGAAGTCAGTTCCCATGTGAGTCCTGGGGATGGGACTCAGGTCATCAGGAGAGCCAAAAATTTCACATGTTAACCCTCTCACTGAAGTTTTGGCTACTAAAGGTATTTGCTCCATCTTGAAGAGGAGGGGAGGTAATGAATAGTTCCTTTTTCCTGGGGGACCAAAGGAGGAAAATTCAGAGGCTCCCTGCCGAGTCCAGTGATGTCATGCTTCTTCATAACATGCATGTTGCATCTAAAATGCCTGATAGGTATAAATATAGGTAAAACATGTTGATAGTTTACAGACATTGATGAAAAATTTTCCTTACCTCCAAATTTAACTATTCATTAAAGAGTAAGGCATTGGTCTAAGACACACTTAGAAACTGTGTTTATTTGTTTTTTTTTTTTTATGTTCATTTACGGCTCAGTCATTATGAGCACTGACTGCTCTTCCAGAGGACCCAGGTTCAATTCCCAGTACCCACACAGCAGCTCACAGCTGTCTGTAACTCCACTTCCAGAGGATCTGACACCCTCAAACAGACATACATGCCATAAGATGCCTTTGCAAGCTTTTGATCTGGCTAAGCAAGTTCTAAAGTGATCATTTTTTCCCTTTAGTGTATTTCAAAAAGATTTTTTTTTTTTTTGGTTTTTCGAGACAGGGTTTCTCTGTGGCTTTGGAGGCTGTCCTGGAACTCACTTTGTAGATCAGGCTGGCCTCGAACTCACAGAGATCCACCTGCCTCTGCCTCCCGAGTGCTGGGATTAAAGGTGTGCGCCACCAATGCCCGGCTCAAAAAGATTTATTAATTATGTATATAGCACTCTGTCTGCCTGTGTGCGGGGAAAGCCAGAAGAGGACATCAGATCTCATTACAGATGGTTGTGAGCCACCATGTGGTTGCTGGGTTGCTGGGTATTGAACTCGGGACCTATGGAAGAGCAGTCAGTGCTCTTAACCTCTGAGCCACCTCTCCAGCCCCCCTTTAGTGTACTGATGCCAGATTTTTAAAACTTTATCATAAAAAGCATTGCAAAAAATATCAACACACTGAAATGAACCAGATCTAAAGACTATACAATTCAATAAATGTTCAGATTGTCAAGAGTAGCCATTCAAAACTAAAGCTGTGGTGTTTCAAATTGGGTTTTTTACTTTCACTTTCGAATATGCTTTTATGTGATTATTGACTTGGTTTCAGAGGCTCCCCATCATCAGCTGCAGCCCCCACCTGGGGTCGAGAACTAAGCTCTGAAGACTCCTATCTGGTGAAGGGTAACGTATTCTTTGTTAGATGCATGTTTTTATGGAGGAAGCTGTCACTAGAACAAGTGTGAACACATTTTAAAGCCTCCTAATTGCTAAATCAGTTTCTATTATTATTATGACAAGGTTTTGGACTAGGGGTGATCATCCTGCCATCCGCTCAAGCGCTGGTAGCAGGAGCCACCACCACACCCTCACCTACATGAATTCCTAAGTGGTTGAGTAACAGGAAGAGAGATAAAATCACCCCAAACTCGGACAGCCATATCTCCTGGCTGGGTTCATATGCTGTGTACTATGGTGGGTTTGACTAATGGCAACCCACTTCCAAGTTCTCATCAACAGCTGTTACTATGATTTATGATTTTGGCCTTCAAAGCAAAGCACACAACCGATGTGAGTTAGCGGAGTCCTCGTCCTTTCCTGAGCACCTCCTCCTTCTCGGGTGCTAAGCACACCGTAGGCTCACTCAGTTTTTCTATGATTATATCCAGGGACAGGTCAAAGAGTAAGGAAGGGAGCATCCTATCCTACACATTTCACGTAGTGGGGAGAGAGATTTCTTCCTGCAGCAGGTTCCCACTTCCCACCAAGGATGGTCAGACCCAGTTCTATTCTTTCCGCTCTCTGGACCAAAGTCCATTCTCCCCGCTGCCTGCTCAACTGTGTCCTTACATGTTTGCCGAATTCATTATCTGACTTCTCAAGATAATGATCGTTTTAGCTTTTTTTGTACACCTATCCCAGCCTGACCAAGTGTGAATCAAGGAGATCATTCACATGTGGCCTTCCAGGGTTTTAGGTCTGAGCCCTCAGGAAGTAGGACGTTTACAGAGTAAAGAATTGTAAAGAGTAGGAGCTAGCACGCCATCAACATTCTTGGTGTGGATGAGGCTCAGAGGACCTGGGCCTTAAAACAAAGGTCTTCTTCCCCAATCCCGAACTCAAGGTTACGCAGCCTTCTTCCACAGGGTCGCCACCAAGGTTTCTGGAATCCGGGCTTCGGCCGAGGCGCGCGCCCCCGGAAGTCAGCAGGTGCACAGACTGGTCAGGTGCGGGTCCCCCCAGCCCGCCGGCTGCGCATGCCCACTTGCTGACCCCAAGTCTTCCACCGGAGAAGCGAGGGACCCAGAGCCTCTCTATTTACCAGCGAACGCCGCCCTCGGGCTCCCGGATGGGCACACGGAACCGGAGCCCGACGCCGCCAGCTCGGACCACCTCCCCCGAGAGCCCCCGCGCCGGCGGCCGCTGATTGGCTGCTTGGCAGGAGCTTCGGATGGGAGGGGCGCGCAGTGTGCGCGTGCGCGCGGCGGGCGCAATGGCTGCGCTCAGCGGACTGGGCGCTCTCCGTGCCGGGTGCCGGGTGTGGAGGTTTCCTGCGCGCCTGTCTGCGGGGCTCCGGGGCTGCTGGCTCCAGAGAGGCTACGTCGTGGGCCGCACTGAGGTGAGAGGACGAGCGGGTTCGGCTCAGCGCGCAGGGCTGGCGGGCGGGAGCACCGTGCGGGTCACTGAGCATCCCGGCCTCGGGGACGCCCTCCCGGAGACTTGGAGCCGCTGAACCCTTCGTCCTTCCCGGAGCGCCTTCCGCCCGCTGGAAAAGTCCGTGTGCGGGGAGAACGACCCATACCAACCCCAGATCAGCCTCGGGTGGGTTCGCAGCTCCTTCCCGCGCGCTAGAAAAGTTTCTTAGCAGTTAATTCGTAGAAAACTGTTCGAGGAGCCCGCGGATTCCTATTCCGAAAAGGTAACTGCTTTGAATGTGACCAGTACACTCTGTCAGTCCCAGTTGTGCAGCCTTCGAGGCAAAAAGAGCCATTACTTTTATTATTATTACGATTATTACTGCTGTGTATGTGTGAGATGCATATGTGGGCACACGTGTTGGAGGTTAGAGAACAACTTTGGGGTTTTCGCCTTCCAGAGTGTGTTCTGCGGTTGCAACTCATGCCATGAGACTTGCACAGCAAGTTCTTTGAACAGCTTAACCATCTTGCTGACCCTTCATTTTCTTTTAAACTATGTGAGTTTCCAAAAATGAAAAGAACATGAGACTTATATTTTTTATCTTCCAAATAACCAGTCACTGTGTTTTGGTACACCTGCTTATCTTTCTCCGTTTGTGGCTGTAAGACTTTAAATCCCGGAGTTCTTATCATTTCAACCCTGAACTCTGCGTGGACCTCCAAAAAGGACGTGTTGAACTAAATCACAATGCTGTTATCATGCCTAACAAATTCCAACTTATTTTGAAATTATAAGTGAATGGATTTATTGTTTGTGTGAGATGCCTCCCTATGTTATCTGACTGACCTGAGCTGACCTCAAATCCTTGGTGATCCTCCTGCCTCTGCCTCCTCGGTGCTAGGATTTCAGGTATGTGCCACCAGGCCTGGTGTCAAGCAAACGGATTTTAAGCTTAAACTTTGTGAATGTTGTTGCACAGTGGGACAAAAGTGAACTTGAACTGTTGAAAGTGACAGATTTTCCTCCCAAGAGCCACCACCTCAAGGGAAAGGTCTGCTGTGTCTTTCCCCAGCCATCCTTGGGATCACTCAGCGGTTGTCACTGAACACCTGACGGGTCCTAAGCACAGTGCCAGTGTCATTCATGGCGAGTGCCTGGGGAAATCGTGTCCCCTCATCTGCTCACATCTATGTGCTGGTCCTCTCTGAGAAGAGTAAGATGATGAAATCAGAAAAGAACTATGGAGAAATAAAATGTCAGGGCTTTTATGGCCTCTCTTCCAAGAGTCCTAGTTGAGGACCCCATTAGGAATATGGAGCAGTAGGGAAGGGCTGCAGGGATCCTGAGGGCCACTGGGTATGAATGAAGTGCACTCGTTACAAGTGTCCAGGCAGACATCTCGGCTCCTCCTGGAACCGTTGTTTGCTTCCAGGAACTGCCCAAGGAGTGGGGGTAAGGGCCCTGGCTTTGCTGCTGGCTTATTTGACTTGGAATTGTGGACCCGGCACTTGGAAGCCAGGCCAGGGAGCCTTTGGCTCATTACCCTCAGCAGTTGGTTCTTTGATCAGGAGGAAGGAGCTGAGAAAAGAACCCAGGCCTTGTACAAGTTATGTTTGGTCACAGTCTTGTGACCTTTGTGGTACAGGTAATACCCCATTTTAAGATAGGCACCTCCTCACGGCTTGATGGGAAGAATAGGTAAAAGTGTTTGTTATGTATCTGGCGTGGAGCCCAGCATCCTCTGTCAGGAGAAGGTGCGAAGGGATCAGCCTTGGAGGCTTTTGGCTGTTTGTTCACATATTTTCCGCCTGCATGAGAGACTTGCTAAGTGTCTCTGGCTGCTGTTTTCTGGTGGTGAGAAGTGATGGTCTTACTGATTCATCTCCTTTTTTCCAGTTTTCCTGCCCACCTCCAACTTGGCTGATGGGCTAAGCATGGGAGGCTGTTGTAAGCTAGGTAAAGGAACCAAAGACCACTCCCCTGGGAGCTCATATCTGCTTAGTGGAAGGAAAATGGAGTCGTTACTTAGTCACTCTGCTGCCTAGTTTACCTGATACAGAAAGTCATCATTTCACTTCCTTGATTTTTACCCTCTTGTTTTCTCTTCTTACCTTGACTGCTGTTTCTCTGGTGTTTATGACTGACTTAAATGTGTTCCATCCTTAAATGGTGGTGTTCTTCTTAGTTCCCCAAGAACAGACTTTCAGAGAGAGAGAGAGAGAGTGTGTGTGTGTGTGTGTGTGTGTGTGTGTTGTGTAGATGTGTGTGTGTCTGCAGGTGTACCTGAGTGCACTTGCCTTCATAGACCAGAGGCATGGATCGCATCCCCTAGAGCTGAAGTTGTAGACTGTTGTAGGTGCTGTAAAGCAAACTTGAATCCTATGGAAGAGCAGCAAGTGCTCTTAACCACTGAACTGTCTCTCTGAGGTCCTGACTTGTCCACACCTGCCCTCACAGGTCCAAACAAGATGCATTGGTTATCCTTCCCCTGCCTGCCTGCTGCTCCTCTTTGGTTCACTTAGTGTAGTGTCAGCATCAATCATTGCCAGCTCAGAATTGTTTTTCAAGAACATAATTATCAAACTCAGAATGTTCAGGGCTGGCATATAGCTCAGTAGTAGGATGCTTGCCTATCATGCATGAAGTCCAAGGTGTTCTCTCTCTCTCTCTCTCTCTCTCTCTCTCTGTTTTAGTGGTATGTTTTCTATACTAGCTGCTTGTTCTGTCTTGTCAACTAAGGAATGGGGGACTAGAGCATTGTTCATCTGTGTTGGTGTTTTATTATTAAGACAGGTCTCACTGTATAGCCCTGGCTGGCCCCAACTTCCCAGTACTGGGACTAAAGGCCTGTGACACCACGCCTCTTCCTGTTGTGGTTTGGATTGATTACCACTGATTGGGCTTTATGTGTGTTCTAAGGGTGACTTGATCTAGTTGGCACCAACAAAAGAGAAATGGAAGACGGGTTAGGTTAGTTCATTTGTTTTGATAATTGAGAAATATCTCTTATATTAATAGGCAGCTTATAAACTAAGACATTAAATACGTTTTCAAAAGAGATTAGAGATTTGGGAAGTAGAAATTGAACCTTATGTCAGGGTGATAGAACCTTGGGCCTCATACAAAAACACTACCATTGAGTTGTGTCTCCAGCCTTGAACATTTTGTAAATATATGTTAATAAAGTTTAGTAATTATGTATATTACAAGGATAAAATACAGTGCCAGTGGCCATGTAGGTTGACATGTGTTTTCCAAAAACAGTTTGTTGATATAAGTTGTGTATTTATAATGCTTATGTTCTTTGGCTTATTCCCCTGTTTTTTAAGAAGCTAAGTAAGGCTTGCCACAACCCCATCATTTGTTAAGTAGAAGCAGGAAGATTAGAAATTCAAAGGAATTGAGCTACATTATTATTATTATTATTATCGTCATCATCATCATCATCATCATTTTGATGATGTTGGGTCAACTTCCCGTGGCTTTTGTCTTTTGTGTTGGTTTTTGAGACAGGGTCTTAACGTCGCTGAAGCTGGCTTGAACTCTTGATCCTCCTGCCTCACCTCCTGAGTGCTGGGAATATATAGGTCTGTGCCACTACCCCTGTTACACCCCCATCATAGCAAAATGAGGAAAAACTTAACTTTCTACATTTATTTGGTTATTTTGTTTGTTGGTTGGTTTGTTTTGTTTTGTTTTTTGAGGTAGGGTTTCTCTGTAGCTTTGGAGGCTGTCCTGGAAATCATGGAGATATGCCACCAACACCTGGCTTTTATTTACCTATTATTGGAGGGGCATGCACCACAGCACATGTGTGGTAGAGGACAAACTGGGAAACTTAATTCTCTCCTTCCATCATTTGTGTTCTGGGAACAAAACTCAGAGTGTCAGACAAGTGCTTTACCTGCTGAGCCGTTTCACTGGCCCAAATTTATACCCTCTTGTTTTCCCATCTTACTTTTTTTTAAGGCAGGGTCTCACTGTATATCCCTGGCTGGTCTGGAACTCATTCTGTAGACCAGGCTGGCCTCAAATTTAGAGGTCTGCCTGCCTCTGCCTCCCAAGTGCTGGGATTAGGCACTACCACTTCCTGGCTGGCTTAAAATGATTTTTAAAAAATGATTCTGGGAATTAAACTTGTGTTCTCAAGCATACTTGGCAAGTACACTTACCACTGAGGTATATTCCCAACCTCTAAAACAAACTCTTAAAAAGATGGCTATAGTGTCAGGCAGTGGTGGCACACGCCTTGATCTCTGTGAGTTCCAGTCCAGCCTGGACTACAGAGCAAGTTTCAGGACAGGCTCCAAAGCTACACAGAGAAACCTTGTCTTGAAAAACTAAAAAAAAAAAAAAAAAAAAAGGGAAGAAATCCCATGCCTTGGTGTAGCTGAGTGGTAGAGTTCTCAGCATCCCTGTGCAGTTAGATTTCTAGCACTGCCAGATGGGAAAAGGAGAGAAAGCAGGACATGCTCTCCTCTCTTATTCTCTGTGACGATACCCTTTAAATGCTCTGTCTCTCACGCAGTGCCAATTCTCTTCCCCTCTGTGCAGAGCCCCCCCACCTTTGGCTTACTATTTGACATTGATGGAGTGCTGGTTCGAGGCCACAGAGTGATCCCAGCTGCTCTGGAAGCATTCAGCAAGATGTTAAACTCCCATGGGCAGCTGCGGGTACCTGTGGTTTTTGTCACAAATGCTGGGAACATCTTACAACATAGCAAAGCCCAGGAGCTGTCAGGTCTGCTGGGATGCAAGGTAAGAGGCAGCCAGGGCAGAGAAATCCAAAGACAGGTTCCTGCTGAACCTCCAGCCCTACATCCCCTTCCTTAGGTTGTGGTTTGACTGTGGCAGTGGGAGTCTTAAAAGTTCCAGCCTCCGCTTGTGATGACACACATGGTTGAGTGAGCACAGAAATCCTGCCCTTGGGACTGAGGGTGTAGTTCAGTGGATAAAATTTGTACCTAGCATGCATGAAGGCCTAGAGGCAGGATCCCAGTATGGCATTACTGGCTATGGTGATGCACTCTTATTACAGTCCTTTTCAAAACTAGGCTAGGCTACACTACATGACTCCCTATTTCAGGGAGGTGGGGAGAGGACAGGCACCTGCCCTTTATGTCTTAGTGTTTGGTTTTGAGACAGTGACCTGTGTATCTGTAGTAGTAGTTGATGACTATGGGCGTCTGGCTCCTCTTGACTAATTCCCGGATCACAGCTGTGCACTGCCATACGTGGTGTATGTGCTGGGGATTAAACCCTGGGCTTCACGCATGCTAGGCAAGCACTCTGTCAGCTGAGCTGAATTGCCATCCCAGCAGTTTAGTGTTTTGTCTTCTTGACTCTTCTAGAAGTTTGGCCCCAGAAAGCAAAGATCACATTTGTTCAGCATTCCACAGTACAGATGGGGCTGTGCAATAATGACTCTTGTTGACAAATGATAGTAAGAGTAAGCTGATGACAGGTGCCTGAGAAGCTGAGGAAGAAGGATTATGAGTTGCAGGTGGGCTGCATAGTGAGACCTTGTGTCAGAGAAATAACAAAAATCCCACCCATCCACACAGCCAGCGGCTGTGTAGCTCCGTGAGTGCTGTCCTCCAAAAGCCTAGCATCTTGGCCCCTTTGCAATTCCCCGCTGTATCCAAGATGGGTACCTGCTTGGTAAGGGTGAACTGAGTTTTGAGAAGGGTTCTTTGTAATCAAGAGAGTCAATAAAGGCTGATTGGTTAGGTAGAGCTGACTGAGGTTGAATCTACGGTAGAGGAATGAAGTTGGTACCTTGAAACTCTTTCCATTTCCATAAGGGCCACAAAAGCACTCTGATAATGCTTCACTTGTTTTGTATGTTGAGAATTAATTTAGGTATACCCCCCAACCTCCTCCCAGGGACTGAACCCATGCTGTCATGCATGCTGGGTTAGCACTCTGTCACTGGGCTGTATTCCCAGTCCAAGATAAGTTCTCATTCCTATTTATCTAAGTCTTAGAAAGTGTCATGTGCTAGGAAAAGCTTTCCAACTTTGTAAACAGTGCCCCCCACCACCAGTGACAGAACTCATTTGCCTGTCACCCTGATACTTTCTCTAACTCTATATCATCCCTTACCTTCCTGTTTCTTGGTTGTTTCTGTAGGTGGATCCAGACCAAGTCATTCTCTCTCACAGCCCCATGAAGCTCTTCTTGCAGTATCACAACAAGCGGATGCTAGTGTCTGGACAGGGGCCCCTGCTGGAAAACGCCCGAGCGTATCCTTTTTGTTCTGGATGGAGAGGAGGGTGCAGGCTTGGGAGCCAGAGATATGATGTGGGCTCTTGGGAACAGGATAGGTCCTTTGTGTGGTTGGTCCTTATGCCTGGTGGTGCCAGGTCACATGCCACCACTTCAGAGCCGTCTGCAGAGGTTAATATACAGGGTCCTGTGTCTTGACCCTGAACAGTCTTGATCTGTTAAAAACTCAGGAATCTCTAAGTGAACAAACACCTCCTGGGGTGACTACATGTGGGAGTTTTGCTCCAGCCTGCATTCTTTTCAGCTCCCTTTCAGTCACATGAACTCAGAAAGCAAAGGACATGATCTCTGTTCTCAGGCAGCTTGTTCATGTACCTTGGATGCTTCCTAGGTACCATGCTGGGCTGTAATCTAAGGCAGGTCAGGGACCCAGGTATGATCATTGGGAGTGTGACTTAATCGGGAAATTCATACTTGAGAAGGGAAGAATATACCCACAACCAGTAAAAGAATGTTTAAGCTAGCAGGTGTTATTGGATTCTCTAGAGGGACAGAACTAATAGAACGAACATATATTATAAATGGAGATTTATTAGCTTGACTTACACAGTGGAAGCTGAGTAGTTCAGTAGTGGCTACCTCCTGGTAGAGAGCCTGTAGCTTGCCTAGTCCGCAACACTTGATCCTCAGCAGTCCCAGGCTGGCACTGTTCCTGGAGAGAGACTCAGTACAAGCTGGAATTCCTCAGACCTTGTATCTGGACCACCTCCAAAAGGGGCCCCTACTCTGAGGAGCCCCCCCATTAATTTTTCCTGATTCATGTTTCTTAGTTGAATGTAGGTCCAGTCAAGATGAGAGTCATCGAGGCCTGGGAAGCTGGCTCAGCTATGAGGGCATTGGCACCGCCTCACAAAGGGCCCTGCGTGTGCAGATCAGGACCCATACAGTAGAAGCAGGGAACTGACTTCATGGATTGTTCTCTAGCTTCCATAATCCCCCACAAATAAATGTAATTTTAGAAAATATTAACTGTTTCAGCATGAGGGCAGGGATGAAACTCAGTTGTGGAGTATCTGTCTGTCATGCATGAGGCCTTGGTTTGAATCCCAAGTCCTACAAGGAAGAGCGGCTGGCATGGGGCCAAGGAGATGCTCAGCAGGTAGAAGCACTTGCCTCTAAGCTTAACCAGTTGAGTAAGGAGAAGACTGACATCCACACATGCCCCCTCCCCAACTACATGAATGTATATTTAAAATTGAAAAGATGGATGCATCTGAAGGCTGCAAAGAATGAGGTAGGTTGTAGGTTCTAAGTGTCCAAGTGTAGAGGGGAACTACCCCTGCAGCAGGAGTGGCCTGGTTTGGTGGTGTCCTGGGAGATGGTTAAGACTTCCCAGGAAGTCAAGGTAGGCAGTTGGAGTTGGGCATTGGAGAGCAGAAGGGTTAGGGCTGAAAAAGTCTAGGTTAAACTCAGAGCAGTGTTGAGCCAATTCAGGCTCCATTGCTGCGGGGAGGAGCTGTTAGAATAATCATCTGGGGAGATTGTTTTGAACCGTCTGAAAAACTATGTCTAGTTAAGATTGTGGGATAGAATTAGGGACAGAAAGATGGCAGCAGATCTTAGAGGAGAGCAGGTTGGAGTCAGCTTGGTCTTGCGCATGACAACCCCTTCCTTGCTGAATGGGGTTTGACTGTCTGTTACAGGGAACTAATTCTTTGTGGCTGTTGTATGACCTTTAGTCCAGTGGCTTAATGAACCAGGCAGTTCACTGGGGTTACCTACAGGAGTGTGGGTGAGAGGTAGCCACTTCACTCAAAGGCTCACCCAAGGAGCCTAGGGTAGCATGACTGGTGATGCCTCATCCCTGAGCTCTCTGCACAGCTTGCAGGCAGTGAGGCTGGTGGGTGTCTCAGAATACTTACATAACCTCACAGGGGAGGGAAGTGTGAGGGGAAGGGGAGGGAGCTTGTGGCTCTGGTAACTTTCAGGGATTGCCACCTCCCTCCAGGAGAGTGTTTCAATTCAGAGGAAATAGCTGTTCACCAGTTACTTGACTTTGCACAGCTCCCAGCCACAGAGGAATCTCCTTTCAGCCCAGTACTTAGGGCTGCAGCACTCATGGAGCACCAGTTTGAATAGGCTCTGAGCGAGCCACAAGCTCCTGGAGTATGCAGTGGGGTTTTGGCCTCTGTTCTCTGGATCTTGCTGGTGTAGGATCTGGTACTTGGAATGTGCCCTAGTGGAGACAGACGGGATTGCACTGGTATGGCATGCAACCTGCTCTGCTTATGCAGTCACAGCCTGCCACTCTGTTCCTGTAGGATTTATGATAGCTCCCTGCCTGCCTGCCGTGGTCAGGACTGGGTCTGGTTCTGCTCACTTGTGACCTGATGTGTCTATAAAAGCATCTTCCTCAGAACAATGTGGATTTGCTTCCCTGATCTTACTCCAGACTAGGCTTCCAGAATGTGGTGACAGTAGATGAGCTGCGGCTAACCTTCCCAGAGCTGGACATGGTAGACCTTGAGCGGCGGCCGAAGAAGAACACGGTAATAAGGACAGGGTGGGTCACTTCACCCTCCACGGTATTCCTGGGGTCTTTGTGTGGTTGTCTTCCTATTCCCTGTGTTGGTTCTACACGTTGATCTTGCTACTCTTATGCTTGGAGCTACGTTTTGTTTTACGGGTGTCTTTGCACTGGTCTTCTTGGAGAGGTGTGTCTGACCAAGGATTGTGTTCTCTGAGTAGATAAGAACGGGCCCCACACCTTTAATCCCAACACTTGGGAGGCAGAGGCCGGTGGATCTTAGTGAGTTTGAGGCCAGCCTGGTCTACAGAGAGAGAGTTCTAGGACAGCCAGGACTGTTACACAGAGAAACCCTATATTGAAAAAACAAAAATTAAAAAAATAAAAATGGCGGAGAGAAGCAGCGAGCCCCACACCCTTGCCTTCTGCTTTTTTGTTATGTTTCCTCCAGTTAGCAGTGCTGTTAGTGGTAGCTTTCCCAGGTTTTCTTCAGGGAACCAGCAACCTTTGTACTTTACTCACTGCTGTTCCTTTACCCTGAAGCACAATCCAAAGAGGCTGCCTTGTGAGGAAAAAACACTGACGAGTCTGTGTCTTCCCACTGCCCTCATCTGAAAAAAAGGAGTTTGATTTCTTTTTGCAGTTCTGGTGGTCAAACCCAGGGCTGTACCTGCTTGAGAAGTATGTCGATAAGCCATAGTTTCTTGTTTCTTGAGATTGTCAGTCCCAGGCCACTCATTAACCCTTTGGAGTATTACTTTTTTTTTTTCCAAGAGAGTTCCTCTGTGTAGCTCTTGTAGACCAGACTGGCCTTGAACTCACAGTGATCCGCCTGCCTCTGCCTCCCAAGTGCTGGGTTTAAAGGTGTGCACCACCACCACCCGGCTTGGAGTATGACTCTTGAAGTGCCCCTTGACCCATTCCTTTTGAAAATTTATATATAATAGCTTATGTCAGCAATTTAGGATTTGCTGTAATACAATTATAGACAAATAAGTTTATTTAATAGAAAATAGTTCTCCCTCCAGAATTTTCTAGTTGTCAAACAGATCCTCTGAGGGCTTTCTCTTGAGTCACTAAATTCCAAGAAGGACCATACTGTAGCATGGGAACGTCTCGCAATAGCTCCAAGCACACAGGAGAGGTGACTCACCTCAGGGCCAAGACTGCAATGGCTCAGGGAAGAATGGGCCCAAGGCTGACAGAGAGAAACCCTCTAGAGCTGACATAAACATAAGAGAGCCCCTTTCTCAGGCCACTTCCTCCTTCGGCACCCTGATTCTAGAGGTTCCTGCTTGAGCAGGACCTTGTTTTCTGTGCTGGCTGGAGAAGCACAGCTGACCACTGCCCTCCGCCCAGCTTCCCTCAGCCTGCTGAGCCCAGTCTGGGCCTTGCCTTTCCCTTTGCTCATCTCCTTCCTAAGTTCTCTCTGCTTCTCGGCCTCAGCTGGTCCTTGGGTGGTCTCTGACCTGTGTGGAACCTGTCTGTCCTGCTACTCCACTCTAGAGACTGGATACTTACTCCAGGAGTGGAAAGCGACTAGCATTGATGGGCCTTCTTCTTGTCTTTTGGCAGTGCCCGAGGAATGACTTCTCTGCCGTTGAAGGTAAACAAGGCGTGTGCCCGGGTAGACGTGGGTTCCTTGTTTTCCCTCTCTGCTCTCAGATTCTTAGGCAGATAGTGTTGAGGGCGGCACCGCACATCAAGGCCTGGTTCACCTGGGTGCTAGCCCTGCCTGTCCACTCAGTACTCTGAGAAGTGTATTGGCAATTTTGCCTGTCTCCACAATGCTTACGTTATTGTGCTGGAGAACTGTAAGCTCAGCAGCTCCAGAGTAGATAAGTACTGACAGTCTAGTCCAGCGTTGCTTAGCTCTCCCCTTGGACAACAAAGACATTGAACATCTTGTTGCCGTCCTGATGTAAAATAGCTTTCCCATGATCCATATCAGAAAGTAATCAATGGCCCATGGGGTGGTGTGTATTTGTAGTCTCCTACTTTTGGGGGCTGAGTTGAAGGATTTGAGTTCAGGGCTAGTCTGGGCTTCATAGTGAGACTCTTATCTCAAAACCAAACAAAGTATTTAGTGTGGGATAATGCCCTCAAAGCGTGGGAGGAAGATTGCAGATGTTTCAGTGTGTTATAGTTACCTGAGAAGTGAAATGATTGCTGTAAGCAGAGTGAGCTGACATGTCCCAGCAATAGATACAGACTGTGTTTACAGGGGCAGAGTCGCCATTGGTGGATTGTTTTCTCCAATGGAGAACAGTTCTTGGTGATTTTTTGTTTGCTTTTGTTTTTCGAGACAGGGTTTCTCTGTGTAGTCCTGGCTGTCCTGGAACTCACTCTGTAGACCAGGCTGATCTCAAACTCAGAGATCCAACTGTTGTCTCTGCCTCCTGAGTACTAGGATTAAAGGCATGCGCCACCACTGTAAATGTTTAAGAAATATTAGGAGTCTCTTAATTATATGATCATTTTAAAAAATTGTTAAACTGGGGCTGGAGAGATGGCTCAGAGGTTAAGAGCACTGGCTGCTCTTCCAGAGGTCCTGAGTTCAATTCCCAGCAACCACATGGTGGCTCACAGCCTTCCATAATGAGATCTGGTGCCCTCTTCTGACGTGCAGACATACATGAGGCAAGATGTTGTATTCATAATAAATAAATAAATCTTTAAAAAAATTGTTAAACTGTACAAAAATATTTGTAAGGCTGGAGAGATGCCTTAGCGATTAAGAACATTTGATGTTCTTGCAGACTTAGGTTTGAGTCCCAGTACCTACATGGTAGCTCACAACCATCTGTAAATCCAATTCCAGGGCATCTAATGCCCTCTTCAGATGACCACAGACTTGTACCAGGTATGCACATGTATGCACATGAATACATGCCAGCAAAACACTCATACACATAAAATTAAAAATGATAATTGAAATACCTTTTGATTAGATAGATATTAGATGGAGTTGCTGGCCAGGCAGTGGTGGCCCATACCTTTAGTCCTAGCACATGGAAGGCAGAGACTGGTGATATACAGAGCCAGTTCCAGGACAGTGAGGGTTACACAGAAAAACCCTATCTTAAAAAAGAACAACAAAAGCCGGGCATTGGTGGCGCACGCCTTTAATCCCAGCACTCGGGAAGCAGAGGCAGGTGGATCTCTGTGAGTTCGAGGCCGGGCTGGACCGACAGCCTCCTAAACAATACAGAGAAACCCTGTCTCGTAAAAACCAAAAAAAAAAAAAAAAAACAAAACAAAAGATGGAGCTGCTCTAACAGTTATGGAAGTGCTAGTCCTCTCCATGAATGTCGGGAGGGACCTCAGATACTGCTAGAATAGGACAATTTTTGCCTGTCCTCACCTGCTGAGTGTTCATTCGTGACAATCAAAATATGTCTTCTATCTTTCAATTTTAACTTGATTCTTTTTTTAAAAATATTTTATTTATTATGTATACAATCTTCTGCATGCCAGCAGAGGGCACCAGATCTCATTCAAGGTGGGAGTGAGTCACCATGTGGTTGCCAGGAATTGAACTCAGGACCTCTGGAAGAACAGTCAGTGCTCTTAACCTCTGAGCTGTCTCTCCAGCCCTTAACTTTATTCTTTAAACATTTGTTTGTTTTTCGTACAGGGTCTTTCTACATAGCCCTGGTTGTCCTAGAACTCACTCTGTAGACCAGGCCAGCCTCAAACTCAGAGAGTCACCTCCCTCTGCCTCCTAAATGCTAGAATTAAAGGGGTGCGCCCAGCTCTCATTTTCATTTTTATTTATATATGTGTCTGCGCATATACCACATGCTTTGGAGGCTAAAAGAGGGTATTGGATCCTTGGTGGTGGAGTCACAGGTGGCTGTGACCATTGGACATGGGAGCTGGGGGTTGAATTTAGGTCCTCTGCAAGAACAGCAAGTATTTCAACCACTGTGCCTTAATTTGTTTTGTTTTGAGACAGAGTTCTATCCCTCTGTAGGCTAGACTGGCCTCAGCTCTGCAGTCTTCCTGCTTCAGCTTTCTAAATGCTGGGATTACTGTTGTGAGCTGACATGCCTGGCTTGAAACTTACACTTTTTTTTGGGAGAAAAGATCTCATGTAGTAACTACTGGCCTCTGATTTGTGGGTAGCTGAGGGTGACTAAGCTATTTATCATCCTGTCTCCGCCTCCTGAGTAATAGTGCTGTAGTTATGTGTTACCATGCCAGGACTTTGTTTTTATGTATTTTTTATTGCTAGGGCCAGGATTTAGGGCCTTGTTCATGCTAGGCAAGCACTTGATTCCTGAGCCATAGATACTGCCAGGAACCGTGTTCCTTTTCATTGAATCAACTGAGGTTTATCAGTGAGTGACTGCCACAGTCCCACAGAAAACTTGGCTGAGTTAGGATTAGAGCTCAGGGCTCCCCTCACTCCCAGTTCTGCTCGGCTATTAGGTTCAGAGATGTGACAGAGAGAGCCAGCCCCTGGTGAGAACAGCGGTACTCGTGAGAACTGAGGTGTGGTGGGTAGAGTTCCATTAGCAGAAACAGCAGCGTGGGATCTGCTGCTTCTGTGAAACAGCAGGGACAGGAAGGAAAACCTTGGGGTGCTCCTTGCTGGGCCCTAACTTTGGTGTACTGGGCCGTGGCTTGGTCAGGGCTGCTCAGGGAACCATACTCTTGCCCAGATGTACACCTCAGTGAAGGCCTCTGGCTCTGGGTGGGTATTGCTAGCTGGCCTCTGTTGTCTCTGCAGGGCTTCCACCTGCCCACTGCAAAGGGCAGGCCAAGTGCACTGTTCCCTCATCCCTGTGCGCTTGATTTTTAGGGGTTCTCCTCCTTGGGGAGCCAGTCCGCTGGGAGACAAGCCTACAGCTGATTATGGATGTCCTTCTTAGCAATGGAAACCCTGGGGCTGGTCTGGTGGCAGCTCCATATCCCCACCTCCCTGTCCTGGCTAGCAACATGGATCTCCTGTGGATGGCTGAAGCCAAGATGCCCAGGTGAGGACACAGTATCCCTGACTTTTCCCTCACAAGCCCTGCAGGTACCACACTGACCTGGCCTCTGAGAGTAGGGGCTTTCAAGAGTTACTTCATGTCAATTATTAAATTAAAACTACAGATTACTGAGCATGAAGATGTGTTGAGTGATTTTTAATATGTGCGCTTATACCCTGCTCATTTCAGAACACATCCATCAAACAGTTATATCAGTGGGTATGTGTTCAAGATTCTTCCTTCTGGTACTGGTTCTTTAGCGTCTCTGTTTGCTTTCATATATGAGCTCTAGGATGGGAAAGCTGGGATTGTAAACCAGGCTTATTCCCATGGTGTAGATCCAAGAACTGAGACCCAGCTGTGTGGCACCAGTGTCCTGCCCTTTCCTGGGGCTGAGCCTCTTTTGTGGCCCTCAGGGTGCCTTGCTGTGAAGCCTGCTGATGGCTGCTCTGTGACTGTGAGTCCAGAATCCAGTCTTCTCACTCTTCCAGAGGCTGTGCATGGTCAGAAAAGGGTTCTAGACCCAAAACAGCCTCAAAGAGGCCAGGCTTCCTTCCCGTCGTGATGTGCTCTTCTTTCTGTGAGCTGGGCTCCAGTTGACTCAGCTCATTGTCTTCCTGCCTCAGCTTCCCCCTAGTTCCCGGCACAGGTAAAGTGTGTTCTGTAGCGTGAGGTTTGGTGTTCTCGCTTTCTCTTTCTCCCTCTCTCCCTCCCTCCCTCTTCTTCCGGGGCACCAGATCCCATTACAGATGGTTGTGAGCCACCATGTTGTTGCTGGGAATTGAACTCAGAACCTCTGGAAGAGCAATCAGTGCTTCTAACCTCTGAGCCATCTCTCCAGTCTGGTGTTTTCTCTGTTATTTCATAAAGTTAGGACATGTTGATTCTAGATGGGGATCAGGTGGGAGTTGGGTATGTAGCAATGAATTGAAAAGCAAGGGGGAAACCAGTTTATAGACCAGATTTGAGATGAGTTTCCCATTCAAAGAAGACATGTTTGAGATGTTTTTCACACATTTTGTTTTTGTTTGTTTTTTCGAGACAGGGTTTCTCTGTATTGTTTTGGAGGCTGTTCTGGAACTTGCTCTGTAGACCAGGCTGGCCTTGAACTCACAGAGATCCGCCTGCCTCTGCCTCCTGAGTGCTAGGATTAAAGGCAGGCACTACCTGTTGCTGGTCTTCTTTCTCACCAGGTTCTGCAGCCCTTCGGCCCTGAATAAACACATGGAAGCTATATTAATTATGAAACTGTTGACTGATGGCTTGGGCTTCTTATTGGCTTGCTCTCTAAATTATTAACCCATATCTGTTAATCTATGTATTGCCACCAGACTGTGGCTTACCTGTAACCCAGCATGTTACTCCTTCAGCAGCATGGCATCTCTACTGCAGCTCTCTCCCCGAATTCTTCTCGTCCCCAGCCCTGCCTATCTTTCTGCCTGGCCAACCAGTGTTTTAGCCATCAGCCGATAAGAGAAACATATATAGAGAAGAATGTCTCTATTAGCCACCACCGCCTGGCATCACATAATTATTTCTGTATCATTGGAGACAGGGTGTCTGTAGTTGGACTTGTCTGTGACTCATTATAGCCTTGAACTCATAGTTACCCTCTGCCCACCTCCTGGGTGCTGGGATTGCAGGTGTGTGCCACCACTCCTGACTCTGTTTACTCAGAATCTCAACTTTAGCTGGGCACAGTCGTTCACAGCGGCTACTCTGACACTGAGAAGGCTGAGGCAGGAGAACCACACATGTAACACCAGCCTCAGACCAGCCTGAAATACAGCAAAACCCTGCTTCACAAAATAAAAACAAGAAACCAAAAGAAAATGGAATTCTTTTGTTGTTGTTTTGTTTGGGATAGGGTCTTACTGTTTGGCCTTGCTTGTCCTGGAACTCCCTGTATAAGCCAGGCTGAACTCACATAGATCTGTCTGTCTCTCGGCTTCCCAAGTACCAGGCTTAAAGGTGTGCACCACCACACCCAGCCAGAAGATGCAATTTGTTTTGTTTTGTTTTGTTTTGTTTTGTGTTTTTTTTTTGGTTTTTTGAGACAGGGTTTCTCTGGCTTTGGAGGCTGTCCTGGAACTCGCTCTGTAGACCAGGCTGGCCTTGAACTCACAGAGATCCGCCTGCCTCTGCCTCCTGAGTGCTGGGATTAAAGGCGTGCGCCACCAACGCCCGGCTAGAAGATGCAATTTGTATGTAAATGAGTGATCCTGAATGTAACACCAAGCACAGTGACTATTAGGTTTTGCCTTAGCACTGAGGATGGTAGACAAAAATACTTTACACAAGGTAGTTTATTGCTTTCTCATTAAAAGAAGTCAGATTGGCAGTGGGGCCTGCATTCAGTCTTCCTTTATTATGGACACACACGCCTTCCTGAAGCGTAATACTGAATCCTTTTGTGTAGAATCCAGAATGACTACCTAGGTATCAGCTACCATATTAGCATTTCAGGTGGCAGGAAGCAGTATGTAGGTAGGGCTGTTAGCTTGCAACACTGACAGAATGCCTGAGTAAATGACTTAAAAGGAGGAAGACTCATCGGCCCTGTTGATTTGGAGCCTGTGGTGACCAGCATCGTGATGGGTAGAACATCATGGTACAAAGAAACCCCTTCCCTTGTGATAGCTGTTGAGCAGAAGGGGAGAGAGACAGGCAGGTGCATGCTGCCAATGACTTTTTCCTATTAGGCTCCACTTTCTGAAGATTCCACCATCTCCCAGTGTGCCATCAACTAGGGACCAAGCCTTCTTGAGTTATGGGAACCATGTAAGATCCAAACCATGACAAGGACAGAGAGCAGCATGCCATCCTCCCTCCCTCCCTCGCTTGTTTTAAGGACACTGAGTCACAGCTAGCCCAGCACTCGTGCTTCTGTTGCCTGGTTAGTGAAGCTTCCTCATGTGGTTGGGACATGCCTAGCTTCAGGGGCACCAATGAGCACATTCTATACCTAGTAGCCAGAATGCTCCGCTGGAAATCGATGTTCACAACAACCGGAAGGGTGACAGGCGGTGGCTATAGAAACAACATCTAATCCCACTTAGGGTGTAGGGGTCTGGTGAGTGGTTAAATGCTGGCTACGAAGCCTGATGACCTGAGTTTGATCCTTGGAACCCATGTAAAGGTGGAATAAGAGAATTGATTCCATACAGTTGTCCTCTGAGACTCATAGCAGCACATGTACGTTAAGTAATAATAATAACTAAAAAAAACAAAACAAAGCCAACATCTAAATTGTAAAAGTGAAGCTGTCAGGGTTTTGACCCTAGTTTTACTACCTTGGGAAAATTGCTGGCTCTTGCCTCAGTTCCTCTTGAGTAATGGCTGCAGAGAGGGGAATTGTGGCTGAGTGCATGAAGACAGCTCGGAGATTGACAGGTGGCCTGCAGGCTGGATTGCTGAGATCTCTTCTTGGGCAGGTTTGGTCATGGCACATTTCTGCTGTGCCTGGAAACCATCTACCGGAAAGTAACAGGCAAGGAGCTGAAATACGAGGGCTTGATGGGCAAACCCAGCATCCTCACTTACCAGTACGCTGAGGACATAATCAGACAGCAGGCTGAGAGGCGGGGCTGGTCCGCCCCCATCAGGAGGCTCTATGCTATAGGGTAAGCCCACTTTCTCTTCATCTTTCATGGCTTCCTTTTCTGGTGCGCCCACACCACCCTGGCCTCCCTGCAGCTGAGTCACACCACCCCCAGGCTGATCTTTGCTCTGGTGGCTTTGCAACATTAAATTTGGGTTTTTCTCTTCTTTTCCGTATTGCTGTGCTATCAGTGATAACCCCGTGTCTGATGTCTTTGGTGCCAACCTGTTCAACCAGTACCTGCAAACGGCAAAGCGTGGAGAGAAGGAACCTGGGACAGGTGGACAGCAGAAGTCACGGCCCTCAACAATCCAGAGCTGTGCCTCCATCCTGGTATGCACCGGCATACACAGCTGTCAGGACTCAGCCCCCGAAGGGCCTACTTCTGGAGGGCCGGAGCTTCCGTTCCATGGGCACCGAGACTTCAGCTTCAGTCCAGAGCTCCTAGAGGCATCCCACGTCGTTCGTGACGTGAATGAAGCTGTGCAGCTGGTTTTCCAGCAGGAGGGCTGGGCATGATATAAGGAGATACAGCAAAGGGGCTGCTGGGGCCCTCGCCTCAGGGAATCCTGTGGGACAGGTCACAGGCATCAAGTCTCAGCCTGGCCCCCGCCACTACTTCCTGGAATGGAGAAGACCGCAGCTTCAGTAGCCATAGAGTGACCCTTGGGCGGCATTTCAGGAGGGGGTATGGATTTATGGCCCTTCCTGTGTCTGAAGTCTGACCTCATGCTGCTTCCTTTACTTCTGTGCCTCAGTGTCCTCTCGGTAAGGACTTCTTCCCACCCCCAAGACAGTGTCTCACTATTGTAGCCCTGGCTATCTTGGAACTCGCTTTGTAGACCAGGCTGCCCTTGAACTCAGAGAGAGCCGTCTGCGTCTGCCTCTGCCTCCTGAGTGCTGGGATCAAAAGTGTGTGCTACCTCCTGCCTCAGTGAAGACTTATAAAAGCCAGGACAGTGTAAAATTATGTGGAAACTTGCGGAGAGCCTTTACTCTCACGGAAGGCCCTCTCTCTGCATGCCAGTGAGGCATGTACTAATAACACTCTTGATAGTTTTCCCTGTCTTTTAGCGTATTGTCCACAGAGTTTGTGGGCTTTTTTTTTTTTTATTAAAAACTGTCCTAATATTTGTTACATTGTGTCTGTGAAGCTTTGTCTGGGGTGTACTAGAAGTCCTGGTGGCAGGGTACTCTCCCTGGAGGCAGAAAAATTTATGGCATTTCACTCCCTAAGTAGGACATACTGCTGGGCTCACTGTGGGAAAAGCCCTCAGCACGGACACGAACAGTGCCCCTTTTCTTTTCCACACCAAGTTGCTAAGCATAGGCCAAAACCAGGGTAATTCATTCCTAGACAGAGCCCCGCTTGGGTTGAGGGGAAGGATAGCAGTAAGGGAGGAGAGTACTATGTGGACCCCCGCTGGAGAGTGACAGAGCTGAGACTCATTCCAGGACGACCGGCGGCCTTCATCTCTGCCATACTCAAGGAAAAGGGGATCCTTACAGGTAAACATGCAGGGTCAGCAGGGACCACCTACCGAACATGTATCTGTAGACTGAATTCTGCCAGGGGCCAGCCATGCTTGTGTGGGGGCCACAACGATATAGCCCCAACCCATGGAGCTTCTATCTTAGCCGAATAAAATAAGCGAGTGTTACATTTAGGGCAAGGAGTGTAAGTACTATGAAAAAACTGGACAGGTAAAGGGTTGTGAACTACCATTGTGGGTGCTGGGAATTGAACCTGGGTCCTCTGGAAGAGCAGCCAATGCTCTTACCCACTAAACCAATTCTCCAGGCCTGAGAGAGCTTTCTTAGAGGAAGTCACAGAAGCCTATGCAGTGACCAGCCCACAGGCAGGGAAAAAACAAAAAGGAATGGCAAGGGTCAGAGGCAGACCAGGGGGGCAGAGGCCCTAGAGCGGGGCGTGCAGCGTGAAGGAGCGTGAAGGAGCCTGAAGCGGTGGGGGACACAGCAGGCAGGGTCTGAGGAAGGGGGCGGGAGGATGGAGAAGCGGCTGTGCTGTGCTAAGAGAGTATGGCCTTCACTCAATCAAAGAGGACGTTGCCGGAAGGTTTCAATGAGAGGACAGCGGGAGGGAAGTAAGGAGGGAGGAAAGAGACAAGAGACAGGTAGGGGCTGTTTGGGGAGTGGAGGAAGCCCTGAGTCCCTGTGTTGTTGACATTAGCTGGCCGTGTCAAGGACCCCTAGCCTCAGACCCATGGGAACAGTGTAACCCCATCCCCACCCCAGGAGAGGCTGAAGGGCAGCAAAGCTTCCCTCTGTTCACACAGCTGCAGAAAACGTCCACCATAGCTTTCTCCTCTGGGACACGTACAGTCTCAAGACTGCTCCTACCCAGAGCAGCTGAAGCTGCCTGCTTGTTGAGCTGCACACAGTAACTCTGCCTCTTTATCTGTATGCGATAACCCATCTCCTTGTTGAGCTGTATGCAATAACCCTCCTCTCTGCTCAACTATTCATAATAAGCACACTGTGCTTATCGAGGGCTGCAGTTTCCCCAAACAGAGCTCAGTTCACCAGCCCAAGTGTTTCCCTGTGTTCCTCTCTTCCTCATTTCATCCTGGACCACAAGAAGCTAGGGACCCCAGTAGGGGCAGGTGACGAAGGTGAGCAGCACTGCCACACTAGACACATCCAGAGCAAAGCTGATGTGGGAAACAGAGAAGAAAGTATGACTTCAAGCCTCTGGCCCTGGCAATGAGGAGCCTCGGGGAGACAGCAGAGGAAACTGGGTTATTTGTGAGGGGCCAGAGTGGGTGTATTTGTGCTTGGTTAAGGTCTGGTCCTCAGGGAGTGAGCATGCAACAACTTCATTCAGCCTCTAGGATGCCAGCTCTCCATTCTCCTATCTCCTGGTCACTCCCCTAACCACCGTTGCTCCCTCACCAATAAACAACAAAGCACCCAGAGGTGTCAAGAAGTTAGTCAGAGCCGGGCGTTGGTGGCGCACGCCTTTAATCCCAGCACTCGGGAGGCCAGCCTGGTCTACAGAGTGAGTTCCAGGACAGCCTCCAAAACAATACAGTGAAACCCTGTCTCGAAAAACCAAAAAACAAAACAAAACAAAAAAGAAGTTAGTCAGCTGTAGCCAACGGTATTTTAAGAAAATGAAAGCCGAGCATGGTGGCACAGCTCTGTAACCTCAGCGCCAGGGAGGTGAAAGCAGGCAGTGAGGCTTCAAGGCTAGGAAGGAAGACAGGGAGACAAGGATGAGAAGGGAGGGAGAGGAAGGCAGGGGACAGTCAGGAGTTTGTGTCCTATGCAAGCGACTACTGTAGTGAGACAGGTCCTTAGTCAGGGTTTTTTGTTTTGTTTTTAATTTTTACTTCCTGAGACAGTATTATGCTATGTGTCTTAAGTTGTCCTCAAACTCAAAATCCTCTTGCCTCAGCCTCCAAAATGCTAAGAATGCCATGTGTCACCAAATCTAATTCTTAGCATCATGCTGGGGTCTTTGAAAGGCAATCAATATTCAAAGTATAGCACCAAGAAAGTTGACAAATATCAAGGTCATGGAAGACACAAACAAGGCCAAATTGGAGTAGGGTTACTCTTTGGGAACAGAACACCATAGGCCTGGAGAACTGGTTCAGTGGGTAAGAGCATTGGCTGCTCTTCCAGAGAGGACCCAGGTTCAATTCCCAGCACCCACACAATGACAGTTCACAACCCTTTTACCTGTTCAGTTTTTTCATAGTACTTACACTCCTTGCCCTAAATGTAACACTCGCTTATTTTATTCTGCTAAGATAGAAGCTCCATGGGTTGGGGCTATATCGTTGTGACCCCCACACAAGCATGGCTGGCCCCTGGCAGAATTCAGTCTACAGATACATGTTCGGTAGGTGGTCCCTGCTGACCCTGCATGTTTACCTGTAAGGATCCCCTTTTCCTTGAGTATGGCAGAGATGACGACTGTGGGTGGTTCTGGGTGAGTCTCAGCTCTGCTACTCTCCAGCTGTATTACCCTGCGTCTTCTTCACTTCTTCAAACTTCACTGTTTCTCTCGGTGTGGGGTTTGTGTTCGCAGTGTCTGTCTTTGCTGCAGGCTTATGTCAGAAATAAGGGACTCTTTAGAGGGTCTGGCATGCACAAAGCCTGAGCTCACTCCCTAGCACCACAAACCTGGATGCACTGTAATCCCATCACTCAGGAGATAGAGGCAGGAGGATCTGAAGTTAAAGGTTATTTTGGACTACATTAATAAGTTTGAGGCCAGCCTGTATACACAAAATCCCGTCTCGAAAAACAAGAAGGAGCAGTTGAGCTTTTAAAGCACGGAATTTCTCATACAGAGCTATTTTTCTAGGCAGTTGGAGGTCCAGGCTCAGCATTTTGTGACTGCAAGAACAGCTCAGGGCTGTCCTTGAGGACTTGGGAGTTTGTCCCACCATCCTTGGTTCTGCGAATTCCACGGGGGGGGGGGACCTGCCCAGAAATTCCCAGGACCTGTTGTCTCATGACTACAGTGTGGTCACCTGGGTACCACTAACTTTAAGGGGCAGGGACAGAGTACAATAAAACTCAAGATTCAGGCTGTGGGGCCAGAGAGATGGCTCAGTGGGTAAAGGTGCTTGCTGCCAACATCCCGAGTTCCATCCCTGTGTGGGGGCCATGTGGTGAAAGGGGGTACTCCCTACCCTGCGGTCATGCCCCTCCCTCCCTTCAAAAAGTAATTGTAATCATTTTTCACATGTTAAAGAGTCGGGTTCTGCTTAGCAAGAATGATAGTGAAATGAAGCGTGTTGGGCCAGAACCAAGCAATGCAGCTACAGCACCTGGCACCTGGACAGCACTGAACTCTTACTGCTGATGTTTATTTTTCAGGGGAGGGGTCTGGCTGTGAATCCAACAATTCTTCTGTCTCAGCATGCCAAGTTCTAGGATTAGATGAATGTACTGTGATATCTGGACTGTGATTGTTTTCTGTGTGTGTATCTCTCTCTGTCTCCGTCTCTGTCTCTCTGTCTCTCTCTGTCTCTCTCCGTCTCTGTCTCTGTCTCTCTGTCTCTCTCTGTCTCTGTCTCTCTGTCTGTCTCTGTCTCTGTCTCTCTCTCTCTGTCTCGCTCTCTCTGTGGGGGAGGGGAGGTATAAATCTTGGGTGCACACCTGTATGCTCATGCGTTTAGAAGCCAGAGGTCAATGTCTGGTGTCTTCCTCAATCTCTCTCACCTTATTTTACTTTTATTTCATGTTTACATTTTATTTATGTGTGTGGTTGTTTTGCTTACAGCATATCTATGTACCACATACCATATTTGTGTTTGGTGCCTGTGGAGGCCAGATGATATCAGATTCCCCTGGGACTGGAATCACAGATGCTAATTGCCTTGCGGGTGCTGGGAGTCAAACCTGGCTCTTGACCTCTGAGCCACCTTATGTTGTAATATGGGGTCTCTTACTGAACTGGGAGCTCATGGACGTGGCTGGTCTGGCTGCCAGTGAGCCCTGGACTCCTGTCTGCGCCTTCCCGGTGCTGATATTATAGACAGAAGCCACCACCCTTGGCTCCAGATTTTGTGAAATTGTATTTACTGTGTGTGTGTGTAGTGCGTGTGCACTGGTGTGGGTGTGCAGGTCAGAAGACAGTTTCCCAGAGTCGGTTCTCTCCTATCTTCATGTAGGTTCTGGAGACTGGTTCTCTCCTATCTTCATGTAGGTTCTGGAGACTGGTTCTCTCCTATCTTCATGTAGGTTCTGGAGACTGGTTCTCTCCTATCTTCATGTAGGTTCTGGAGACTGGTTCTCTCCTATCTTCATGTAGGTTCTGGAGACTGGTTCTCTCCTATCTTCATGTAGGTTCTGGAGACTGGTTCTCTCCTATCTTCATGTAGGTTCTGGAGACTGGTTCTCTCCTATCTTCATGTAGGTTCTGGAGACTGAAATCAGGTTGCCAGGCTTGCATGGGAAACAGTGCCCTGCTGAGCCAGCCCAGTGTTTTTAAATGAGCATCAGTGGTTCATACGGTTTGGAGTCTCATAATCCCAGTAAAGGAGGCCATTTTTTCATTGTTTATGGCGGGGTGGGGAGGGTGGGGGGGTGTTTCGACACATGGTTTCTCTGTGTAAAGCTCTGGCTGTCCTGGAACTCTCTCTGTAGACCAGGCTGGCC